ACTTGCTGATTAACAAGCACGTCACGCGATTCCCTTTGTGGGTAACTTAGTGACGGCGATGTATGCTCGTGATCCATCGCTCAGCCAGTGATCCGATGAACAAATTGCAAGGAGTTAAGTAATTCGTCTTGTCATAGCCCGACTGCTGTGTGTGTGTGTGTGTGTGTGCAATTTGTGACCAGCCTCGCCCTACACTGGTGAGGTTAGCGTTTGTTGCCCTTTCACTGACCTCCGTTAGTAGAGGAATGTAGAAACCTGTGACAGCTTGCGCGCAGTCACCTGAACGCTTGATCTTTTACACCGCGTGCCGTTTGTATGGATTCTGTTTAGATAGAACGCGTCGGTCGTACTTTAATCGCTTATTGATACAACAAAGGGGGAAGTCGCTCTACACGTATTGTCAGGCTGCCTGTATATTCTAACGCTCTCTGATTTCGAAGACAGATATTACTGTTTTCCAATCTTTCTATACCGCCTCGTATGTTGAATTGCTAATGAGTACATCAAATTATATCCGCCCCGACAGTTTCTAAATGCTATGTCGTACATAGCTACTGTTAGTGGACGTCGTGTCTTTCGGGGCCAACCCTGTCCTCTGCAACGTTCGTAAATTGCATGGCAGTGGAGGATAAGACGCGCTATGTCGCAGTTAGCTTGTAAATCATGACGGTCCGAAGCTGTCCCCCGTGGCCCAGTGGCATAAGCTGCTGACTGGCGGTTCAAGCCGCTGGTGGTCATTGGTTCGAATCCTGATGGATCCGATGGATGCGCACTACTGATGATGCCCAACAGGCTGAAACTGCAGTCTAGTGCTTTTCCGGGCATGTGGACGACTATCTGATTTGGAAACTGGCTGCGATGAACCTCACTTAATTACATCAAAATCCCCTACTCATGAGTACATTGAATTGCTAATTGCCGACGAGATTTTTTGCACAACTTTTCATTCCGGTCAGTTTACTGAACGGGTTCTGGATATTTTTATTTTTTGCACATGTTCGCCATTTGGTGACACTATATTTGCATACTTCTAGTTTATTACCACTCATTTGGTACAAGTATTGGACTTATAGCTTCAGATGTGTTGACCTTGCTGAGTCCTCTGGTGAAATATAATTTTCCTGAAACCACTTAGTTATTATGTGATAATTACCTGACTGTTTTACGGGACGCGTTATGCTTTAGCTGTTTTACCCTTATTATGTCATTGATCCATTTTTCCTGAGCAAGTCCAGCAGTTACACTTGACTTTTAACTTTATCTTAAAGAGTAAAAGAATGGTAAGTATATAATTAAATGTCAAGGGTTATCTGGCTTCATGTATAACTGTAGTTACTGTATTCCCGTAACTGTCAGCCAAAGTACTCCTAAACGTTTTGTTGCCCATGTGCTAACGGTTTATTTGCTCAGGAACTGCATGATTTTCGAAGTAAACGATATTGCACTACAGACCTTCATAATTCAGCCTGTCAAGATAGACACAATTGAAGGAATTATTTGGACAACCATAAGTCATGACAACAAGTAGTCTTGCTCTACGTTCCAACTGACTCGGTCAAATTGCCTAAACGAAGTAAGTTTAGCCGACCAAGTATTGCCGGTGCAGCGTAAGAGCCTGGCTGATAATGTCCTTAACAAGAAATATTCATATGAGTTACTTACTTTTGTTGGCAACCAAAGTAATTCTGGTATCATTCAAATGCTGACGATTACCTGACGACGGATAACACTGTCAAGCCTACCACATAATAACTTGCATTCTGTTACGTCTCTAAATTCAGCTAACCCATTTTAAGTAGGTAGCAACAGCCTATATCAAAGTAGCTTTATAGCTATATTTTCTTTTTGCTCGCTTTGACTTAAGTTTCATGTGGGCTCAAGTGACCTAAGTATTCCCAAGCCTATGGACGTTTATTAGCAAGTGTTTCAGACAGTGCGACTCACGAAACCGATCACTGCCATTTGTGCTTTCTGTGAGACAGAAGCCAAGGGTTCGACGCTCTTCTATGCCGTAGGTTATGGATTTGGTTCAGATCGTGTTTAACCGAGTGTAACAGTCACATGCCTATAAGTATCACTGTACAACATTATCGCCTGCAGCCACGTTGTTGCACTAAGTCACGATTTTGTGATTGTCATGGTCTAGCGTTTAACACGTTTGACGTAGAAGAAATCCCAGTTTAAACCACGATATTGTGGGACATAAAAATCACTCCGCAGCTTGCTAACGAAACTAATAAACTTGTAAGTCTGAATAGATCAATACCAAGGGTGAGAGGATTGTCCTGTTCTCCGAGCTGGGCATTTCGGTTGCAGACGTTTCGTTGCCCAACTAAGCAACATCTTCAGTGCGGCTATTCAGCCGTGATTCGCAAATCTGACATTGGTTTGCGAGACCGCGAATCAGGACTGAATAGCCGCACTGAAGATGTTGTCTAGTTTGGCAACGAAAGGTCTGCAACCGAAATGCCCAGCTCGGAGACCAGGACAATCCTCTCATCCACACCCCGAGCTACAAGTCTTCGCTATAATTTCCAATACCAAGAGTATTGTCCATTGAAACCATATTAATAGCAATGTGATTTGAGATATTACCTATCACCTGCAACGAAAATGATGGACAGCTAGAAGTATGTAAGCGGCTGATGATAAAAGTTTGAAAATATAGCTAGGGTGTTTTCTTAAACCACAGCAGTTTTTTATAGTGAGATGTGGCCGTCCTTCAGACAACTGCCTTCGTTAACAACCTGCATGTCTGGTACAGAGCTAAATGAAAACTATGGTTGACTGACAATTCTATGATACTCTTTTAGCTTCACCATCACAGGAACTTTTATTTCGATATGGCGTAGAGTAACTAAGGGAAATCTTTTGTCAGTAGACTTGAACCCACAATCAAGTTTCGATAGGTTTGGTTGGAAATCTATCCGATTGTTCAATGGTGCTCACATAATGCGGACTGAATTTGGAGCCACCAAAAGAGGGCTCAATCGGTCAGAAGTTGCGGGGTTAAATGCGAGCGACACTTGAACGGCCTAACCAGTAAACATACTGCATTCACTAACCACTGTGTCAAATACACTGCGCTAGACAAACCTGAATTAAAGTTTATTCTTACTGTCATCCATATAGTTGCATTATCTAAGTCATTACAGAGAACGGCTGTAGTATGATCGCCAAATTCATTTTTTATATAGTGTATGGCTGCTTGCAGCTTGTTTTGATATTTGCTGTCATGACGACAGTGCTAGATGTACTATTGTGAACAGTGCCGAGATCCTCTTGACAAAGATCATTGCGGCCGCAATTGTAGCTGCCACTTTAATTACAAACCCAAGGAGATTATCGTTCATTGCATTAAAAGACTAAATGTTCAGACTGCCACGAAGAAGATTGGATGGTTGTTTCTTGCATCAATGAGCTGCATCCTAGTCAGCACTTTGTGAACGCCAGACACAACAACGTGATCCACAATTTACCTCAGTGCTATGCATTTAAAGAGCACGGGACGATAATTTCCTTTCATACATACACTGGAAATCTAGTTTAACGATGAAATGGTAGGCGGTACATTTCGGTCACGCGCGACCCTTGCCTCGATGCGTATACATTACGGATGTTTGATTTCACAATAAAAATAAGTCTCAATGCAGATTTTACTCTTCCCCATTGATTAGTAGAGGAATATTTTAATCCCATGCTTCCGAGTTTGTATCTATGTATGGCAAAACGTCTCTGCTGTACGATGGAGTCAGTGCCATCGTGCTTATAATTTGGAACAACACCTAATGAACGTAGGGCAGACTGGTTAAAATAACAAACCAAGAATAACAGGGATAATCTTAGAGATCAACCGTTTGAAGTGAATTTGCAAAGTGGATTCAAAATGCTTATTACTTTTACGTTAATTATTACGGTCGTAAACAAAGACAGTACCGTACTTCATCTTTTTATACTTCCTGAGGCTACCTAAGGAAGGAAGTACGAACTGGTCTCTACTGTCCACGACATTTTAGGCAAATTATTAATGACGAAGCATTCAGTGGAAACAACCCAACATTAGCGCCTGCCTTTATCCTAATCCGATGTAACCACACCCATCGCTGACACTATGTCTGGGATGTTTAACAAACTTAAGTTCTACTCTTTCTTATCTTATCCTTAGTCTATAAAGTAACAAAAATCAACACAAAACCATTTAGAAGACACAGCAATACCTACATTTGGTAACATAAGCTTCAGCGTTGTGGATGGCTTCACATTCATCATTTAATTCATAAGGTAGCTGTGCCACTACTTAGACTTCACCAAGGATAATTGAAATTACTAGTTTTCATCCTTAGTGTACCATGTGCTATGAGTAATGTTCATTTATTATTTTTATGAAATATGCAATAATATAAAATATATTCATAAAACATTATAATTTTTTCTCATTTGCCATGATGAAGTATGAATTATAGGATACCTATAGCCAAATCGCAAAATACAGATGTAAGGTCAAAAAAACTCTAATTTTCTGGGTTGTATCCTAAACGTCGAAGTAAAACATTTACATAAATGTTTCAGAGAAATTATATCTTTAATGCTCGTGAAACGCCAGGTGGGAAACACTAGAATTATTGAATCAGAGGCGCGCAGGTGTTGGGATTGCAATTATACCAACGTACAGGACAGCAAACGATAAAAGTATAAACGCTATAAGTTTTCTGTTGTCAAATCAGAACTTAAAATCTTTGTGTATATCTCAGTCTGTGGTGCCCGTATCGCTAAGCTTGGAGTAAACTTGATCTCTTTATTGTCCTGCAGAGCATAGTACATGGGAACTAGTTGTCAGGAATATCAATAGCAAAATTGACATAAAATCTTATTGGAGATTCGAGACTTTTACGTTTTTTATGCAGCGCATTAGATTATATCGCTGATGCCTAACGTGGATAAAAACCGCTCACAATGTGTTTGCTTAAGTTAGGTCCATAGTTTAGAAAAGCATGGCTTACCGCATCGTAAAATTTGAACACGTGCTCAATGTCATCGGAGGTTATGCAACCCTTCTTTTTGAATATGGGTCTGCAAAGAAAGTTCTCCTTTGCTGGAAGTAGCCTATGAAACAGGAAAAATGCCTTGTTTTATTATGTATGTTGCTGAAAAAATCGTTTATGCCTAAGTTAAAAGGAATTCTTTCGTATGCTAGAAAATGTGCAACTTTAGCATTTTCTACAGTAGACGTTGTTAATACGAGTTGAATAAAAATATATGATGAGGTGTTAGATCGCCCTCTGATGCATGGAAGAGGACAGCATGGGAATCCCCTGCAGTCTTTGCAAAGTGACAGGCTTCGTCAATTTAGCCTGAGCTGCTATTTCTTACTTGCGAGTTTACAAGGACAAAACGGCGTCGGATTGCTGGACGGATGTTCCACAGGCCTACTGACCAGCACTGTCATAACCTTAGAGGAATGACTGTACATGGTCTACATCTTCTTCTGTCACATTCAGATATGCTTACAATAAGTGATTTGTACGTGACTTCTTCCAAACATAGCTACTGATATCAGTAAAGTAAGACTCAAAAAAGCTGGCAGTATTGGAAGATGAGTTAAGTATTACGAAGAGATCATACTAGTTAAATTTACTAATCCTGGCAACTCAGAGCAACAGTTAAATATATAAATAAAAGGTTTCTTCTCGTATTTATCGAGGCACGCCAAATCAGGCATGATCAAAATTTACAGGCACTTATGTTTCGCAACCGACACTTTGTTATGTATGTAATCGGTAGTGCTCGAAAGTTTAACAGGCTGCGGAGATTGAGGATGTAGTCATGAGAAATAAAATCGTCAATGGATGACCATAGTTTGGGTTCAAGTGCGCATAGTGCAAACAATCAAAACACTATGTGTAGGGAAAAGGGTATATGTAGCCAGAGAGTACCTTATTCTTGTACGTCAATAAAAAATTGAAATATGACTCTAGTCGAGTTGCCGGTATTTATTTGTCGGCAGTGACTTCATTCATTGGCGAGTTATATCTGCCACGTCACAGTGTTTTCTCTGGTATTATTAGGCTGCACTACTGCATAAGTTTTGAGCTAAATGAGCTTCCTTGTTTGTTGGGTTAAGAGCTTCCATATCCTTTGCGGTAGGATGAACAATAAAGCTAACAATTTTGTAGATAACTGAGAAATTTTTATGTCTGTTACTAGAATCCGTTTGCACGTTGTTAATATTTTTTAATAAATAGGCAACACTAGAATTTTCACACATATTAGCATGACACCAACCCGAACTGATCTTTATGCAGTGACAGCCAATTCATGCTCAAAGTACACCAACTAGTAAGCAAAGAATAATTGTTTTTGGAAGGTAATAAAGCGCCCGTCCCATTGAAAGGCTTAGAATTGCGAATATGTTTCGCTAAAGAACCAAGATCTTACTCAGGTCAAACTTTGTAACATAAGCAAGACTTATCCTCAGTGTAAGCCTATACAAAACCGATTTGCATTCAGTGCCCACAGAAATTTTTTATTCCCAGCCGACCTCAAATTTTTCTGAGGAAGATATATCTAAAGGATAGTTCATTCAGTCATTACTTTCATAAAAAGTTTGCTCCTCTGACACAACATTTTGCCGATAAAGTATTACAAACAACTCACCAGCAGACACCATAGCCATAAGCCTACCCAATATATCGGTGCCAAATAGTAAAACCGTAAGTGTGAATGACTGCTACTAAAATGTTTCACAGCTGAATTTACCGGTGATTGCTTGACATATTTAACCACTCTCTTATTCCGTAATTTGGTGTACGTTCATCTACTGAATTTAACCCTTTTCAACCCAGTCGCAGTATACAAATAACATTAAGAGAGCAGCCGTGAAGAATCTCCTAGTTGGAGAGAGGTTGGTTTGTTAGACAATCACTGGATGTTTGTTATATTCCCCGCTCGTACGGTCTGTCAGGATCTCAAGTGGATTGCTTAAAGAGAAGTCGTTGGAGCAAGAATTACTCAAGCAGGAGCTGCCTAGCATTTATGGATAGTAATGGGTACGAAGCTGCATTTGAACTGGCATGGTTCGTTCTACAATTCCCACTAGTAGTTGTACCGAACATAACTCAGATAAAGCAGTGAGTCAATCGTTATGAGACGCAGCGCTCACAATGCGAACGAGGTGTCGCGGCTTGCCGGTTGGTTGATAAAAATGAGTGGCTTTAGACATTTTTACTATTGGGGATAAAAACAATCTCCAAGTCCGAGTGTGAAAAACAATCCCTGATTTAAAACACTTACTTCCTGAAATGAGGAGACGATTATTGGCATTTCTTATTAACACCTCAGTAAGATTTTATAGATGTCATCAAGCATAATCTAGCCAATCGTGTTCATGGTTGTGGTCATTGAATGATGGTATTAGAAAAATGACAATGGCAGGTTGACATCAAATTGCTTTTGAGACGCATAAATCTGGTCTGCTTCAACAAATCGCACAGGACTTGCATTTTTATGATGCAGCGGGATCCGATACGCCAATAAAGGCTTAATCCGATGAAGGGTCACTAAAATGTGTCTGCCTATGCATGACGCCGGCGGCTTACACGAGAACGTATGGTGGGAACCGGATTCATTAACTCCGCGCTAAACGTTGTTTGGTAATTGTTCCTTGACTCTGGAATCAAAAGCCTGCCGATATAACAGACTACACAGTTACGCACGAATTTCCAAATGAAATGTAATTTGGCGCCGACGGGTTCATCTCCCTTTACTGAAGATAACATCAACTCTCGGGTTTGGTTGAGAATTACGTACGTCGAATCACAGTACGTATGCTGAGTGGCCGAGACACCGGGTTAAGTTGTTTTTCTTCCTGAGACATTATCTTTGAATGGCAACACGATGTTTTCCATTTTTGTGTGCGGTCAGAACCGTTTCTACAGGCTGTCTAACCTATGTTTCTGTGCATCGCTTGAGGATGTAACTCTCCATAAGTGTTTTAGTGATTAGCCTAAATTTCTTTATCAGGAAATCGATCGAGCAGATACGTGTAGCATGAGTGATTTTACCATGGTTTCTGCACTTGTTGTGATAATAAATGGCAGCGACTTGGAATGGAACTTTCAACCTTTTGTTTCCATTTTTCGTAGCTTATTTTTTCTAGCGTAGTTTATTTGTCACTTCGTGGTTAAGGCCATAAAACGTGTCATCGCGAAAAGTACACAAGTTAATTAGAACAGAAGAAATTAACAGTTAAGCTTATTCTTCATTACGTTCAAATTGATGAGCATCACACAAGGAAGCTGGAAATTATCCATATTGGAAAACCGCTTCAAAAGGTCCCTGCGCACCATCGAAGCATTCCGCTTCAGTGGAGCGCGAAGCTATAATCCAGCAACTTCAATGCATAGACGGAATTTGCTTTTATCGACCTATCACAGACATTAGTATTGCTTGCCAGCTGGACCCAGATACAAAGCAAAACGAGTTCGCTGCATCAAAATTTTATTATAATCTCGTTAAATTCTGTGTTGTAGGTACACTGCAATGGCATTGTAAAGTTAGTACTTCCCTGGATTGAAAATTGTAATGATACCAAAATTCATCATCTAGTGCTAGTCACTAATTTTTAAAAACAACATAGCCCAACAAAAAATTGTTAGATGGCATCTGGATAAGTTGTAATAGGTTAGTTAGGCCATTTTTGGCAAAAGCAACAAAACCGCGAGAACCACGAAGAGAACGGAAGTCCAAACATAACTTTTACAGAAACAGACATAAACCCTTTAATTATGGCTAATGGCATTAGATGTAGCAGATAAAGAAATAATATGTTCTAAAGTTAATCTTGGTATTTCACGCAAACCGTTGTCCAGTGCCCATACTGTCATGCGTACGATCTCATTTCCCACATAGATAGACCTTTCGAAAGCTATGGTGACATTTCTGTAGAGTCACTTCCTTATTAAACCGGAAATATTGTCTTACTCATTTTTCTATAAGCGAGAATTGGGATAACTTATCTAGTGGCTCAGTTTCCTTTCTCTCACTGTAAATCATGTTAGATGGGGCTCACGAGATAAGTAACAATCCAGTTTTCAAATGTTCTGGTTATTTGGAACTTACCGTGACATCTCACTAAGCTGCAACTTTCCGTCCCCGTTGATGTCAAATAGATTCAGCTGAAAGATAGGGGATAATTAGAGCAGACTGATAAATTGAATTTATAAACACGACGACATTTCCACATTTACTGATTTAGTTAACGTCAGTGCGGACATCACTAAGAAATGCGAAGACTTCAAATATTTGCATTCCGTTTCAGTTCTTAATACAGTCTACTCAACATGTCCCACTGCCATTAGACAGCAAAGGTTCCGAGAGAAATGCAAACAACCATACCACTGACAATTTTCTCACTTCCCGTTGGTTATACCAAGGTTAAAATAAAACAAATACGAACTGCTGGAATACAGTGATAAACATGTACCAAAATTATATACACAAGAAAGCGCGCATTCATCGATGAATAACGGCAAAACAGTAATAAAGAATTTAGTTTGCGACCGCATTCGTCAGTACAACTCTCCGAAAGCAGGTAATATACAGTGATTTTGTACAAGCAAACGATCAGTGCGCAATTATTCCAATAGAGTGGCCACAGTGCGGGTTACAGTATCATTGATGCATAGGTACAACGATACCGTACTTGTGACAGAAGAGCAAATTCTTTCACTGATTCAGTGCATGGCAACCATAAGAATTAGTAGTTTGATGCTGACGTACAACAGAGCAGTTGTAGTAACATTTTAATGTAACGGAAAGCATTACCTTACCTACTGCTTTCACTCTATCCTTGGCATACTTGTCAGTAAAGTGCTCTACTAGGTCACATAATATTTATTTTATTGTCAGAATCTAGGGTGCCTATCGAGCCACTATTTTGAGGTTGTACAAGGCAGTAGAGGAAACGACTGTTTAGAACAAGTTTTCTTGGTGAGCAGATATTAAGAGGAAATTGACTCCTTTGGCACCCTGTATAGCTCTGTGGCTCACACGGTTTCAAGTATTTACCTCTGACTTCGTTGACACGAACTAGCTTCAGGAATTTGGATTAAATGTAACTGGGATCACTCAACGTTCGGTATACTAATATGAGATATCAGCGCAGTTTTTGACAGTGTATTACTGAAGTTTCTCAGTAAATTCATAATTGATTGGTGAAAGAGTTTGAGCATATCGTTTACTTCTCTCGCCGTCTCGCATTGTGGGTCATCTAGTATGCTTACGTCATGTTTCATCCAACCTAACCAAACTTAGAACGCACCTTCAACTGGTGAACAAAAGAAGGACTTGTGTATCACTGGTAAAATTGATGGGGCAAATCTTTCTCATATAATCCACATGCTTCGTTCGTTCCGGAGGTTTTTTGCCCTTTGTTCGAACTATTTTGAAAAGCTGTGGTCATTACGTCTAGACACAGCAGGTTGTATCCCAAGGAAAGGATTTGCATTTGGCGTGCCCCAGACAGATAACTGTTGATATTCTTGTGGCATACTTAAATAACTGCATTGTTTTCGTTGCACAGTGATATATTTTTGATTATTTATTGGAAATCGTATCACGATTGCTTTGGGGCCCTTCGTTGTCATCCGCTTCATTGGTCTATTTCACATAGACTGACAACAAGTACGACAACGTGAAATCCGAATAAACAAACCTTGCTAAATCGGTTGTGCAATTCAGGCACAGGCGAAAGTTAGCAACACTTAACGTGATACGCGGCACTTGACTGTAATCGCGTAACAGAGACTTCAGACTTTTACCTACAAGTGGCGCGCATATAAAAATTACCTATACAATCTGGTTAGTACCATAGGTGTCAGTGTTACGGAGTATTTCATTGCTCGCGTTATCGCAGCAATGCGATAAATGTAGGCATATGTTAATTGATGGTGAAATGACAGGGGACGAAAAATTTGGGCTGTAGTTCGGAGAAGTATGATTCAACAGGATCATGTGGCAGTTGGTCTCATCCGGACAGCCACCACTTACATAGGAGTGCACTGGATCACCGTTTAGTCTAATTGTTACACCTGAAAGAGAGACATCCACCGGATCCCACAACGTATTTTTAGGCGTCTGAGCGAATCACCATATGTGCGCTCATATCGGGTATGACATTTGGTGACGGGGAGCGGTAAGTTGCAGACAGTAACCAACGACTGTGGGCTGTCGCTGGCAAACATTGCCCTTAGTAGTATAAGTCTGCCTGTTTCGATTAAAGTACTGCTTTTGAATCCAGTAGGATCTGGCAGAGGTTAGCTACTTAAAGGTCCCAATAGATAGCAGTGTTGAGCTCATCCATATACTTAGTTTGACTGCGTTTGACTTAGTTTGGCTGCGACTAACGCTCACAATAACGCATGTAAGCGCTATTTTCTGACAAGTATTTTCGTTGTTTGTAGCCACTGAGACGAGTTCAGGTGCTATGGTGTTCTCGGCGCTGGGTAACTTGAATGAAAACCGTTCGCTACCTTTCGGGGTGGCATCTTCAGTACAGGATTGATAGCAGCCAGGTAGCAGGAGCTGGTAGAATGTATCCATCATTGGGTTCGCTTTCTACCAGCTCCTGCTACCTGACTGCTATCAATCCTGCACTGGAGATGCCACCACAAATGTTGACGAAACGTTTGCAATCAAGTTGTCCAGCTCGGAGAACACCACAAAAGCTGAACAAGCCTCCCAAACTACCAGTATTCTAAAGCATTTCGTGCCAATGAGACTACTAGCAGTCCACCTAGCAAAGGACAGAAGGTACACAAAAGTCTTTCATCTCATCGAGTACGCATCGCTTATTACTGCTTTCATTATGCATTCATTTTGCGGCATCCATCCTTGTCTATGTTAAAATTATTTTATTAGATCGCAGTCAATATGTATTTCCTGTCTACCATGGTTTGTATGGGCACAGAAATTTCAAAGAAGCAGTCACCATATATTTCCTTGACTTAGACATGCTTGCCATGTAAATGGATTAATTTAACATACGTCTTGAGGATATCAGCTACGCTACTTGTCTCCCACAATTAAACCATGCTGCTCGCTACTAATTACTTAACTTGCTGTGACTTATATCACATTTTTACTGTTTATCTTTTGATAGGGGACTTTAAGAAAGAGTACTACTCTCTCCAGCCATCCAAATAATTTTAGCTCGTATATTTTTAGAATGTTATAATTCTGTGCATAAGGTTACATATTTTTATTCACTTGTACTTAAACCTACAATTATGCTGATAGTAAAACGATTAAGTTTAAATTGAAAATACGGCAAAATCAACGGAGCAAATTACGGAAACAAAGAACTTCACATGCCGTAACATATTTACACGCTATTGCGAAACTCTTGCTTTCACGTCATTTTATAGTAGCAAGTTGTTTACTCATGTAGAGCGGTGTGGATGATGTAAAAATATAGTTTGTTGTATGGACAAAATTAATATACGTAGTTGTTCTGCACATAGTATGACTGAGACTGTTTGGGTGTTCACGTTTTATATTCACTTGAATTCAATATTGCTGCGTTCGCTGCGTAAAGATAAAAGTGTTCAGCTTTTTCGAAGCACAAGGATAATAAGTTCGACCGAATATGTTGATCCGTTTTGTATGTTCCGAAAAACTGCTTGATTCTTTGCTGCAATAGTGAAGTCGCTGTCTACCATTATCGGATAATTTAGCAGAACCAGCAAACAAACCAACGCTTAAGTCAACAAGATTTGCCTTGTGAAGTTAAAAGTGTTAGCTTAGCCATTAGACACAAAGTTTTCCTGATTTGGACAAGCCGCTAAATATACTTAACGGCTAAACAATAAAACATCTTATTGTATCTATTTGCATCTACAATGTTATAGAAAACATTTTATTACAAGTAGTGCTCTTGTTGTACAATGCATTTGATGCTGGCAGAAATACGCGCTTTAGAATAACCAATAAATGTAAGATGAAAAGGGTCCTTGCAATAAGCTGACGCATCAGGCGACGCTGTAGTCTGACTAGTTCGGACGTGACTGGCTAGCCGGCTTATCTAATAGGTACAAGAGCGCAAAAATGAGGAAGGTATTAGCCAACTTAACGAATAACCATGTACAAGTTCTGAACAAGCCAACAGTTATCAATCCAAGTGTTGTTGTTTACCCAGATGATTCATGCTTATAAAAACAGCATAAAGCCATTGAAAAATTTGAAGCGAATATTTCAGGAATTGCTAAGTCAAGTGACTCAGAACAAACAGGAAAGCGCAGTACCACATCCGCACCTCGCGTACTGAATATACATCAGGAAATGCAAGGCAGGAAGGTGTAACTAAAAATGTAGCTGCTCCCTGGATCCGCCAACCTGCTGGTAAGTAGCAAAAACCAATGGGTAGGTGATTTATGCAAACCAATTAACTCAAATATATAAAGCTTTAACTTTGAATAGTTGAAGAAAGAAATGCTAAATCTGCAGTTTTGGTTCTGCATCAACAACCCATGTAAATGATACACGTTTTTTGTGTTTAGATCCATCACAAGCTACATGAATTCCGGTCATCTCGAGGAATGATTAAAGTCTTCATGTAGTTAGCAACCTAAATAAATGAAATCAAACAAGAAAACTTTTTCAGTTGCATAACTGTCTCATAAAGTTTAAGTGCCGCACAAGGCAAAGGCACCGACGCACATTAAGCGACCCGAAATACAAAATCTTAATCGACTTTTAGATCCAAGTGGTCATTTCCCAAGTTATTGTTTGTATACCAAGTTTTAACGAATTTATGTGTTACTATGCAACTGAGTTCACTATCCCTACGTGTACGCTGCACACTTGTGCACTGCTTGTTATTTTCGAGTCCACTTCGTCGCAATTTGTTGCACAGCACTGAACTTACATTTATTTGTCTTGTTAAAGTAGTGCCATCTGTCGAACTCATTCACTCCTGGATATTACGAGTTACCTGCGCTTTAATAAGGAATTGTAATTCCTGGGCAACGCTTACTCGATACCCACGCCAAAAGCGTTGCATTATTCCAAACATCGAACCCAATTTTTGCACCTCTTGATTCAGCATGCCAATGGCAACAAACAAGCTCTTGTCCAAGTCCAAGTTTGTATGGAACAGATACAAGGTACTTTCCGTTTGCCAGCAGCAACACTCCTTTTGTCGGCCGGAAGGTTTACCCTGGCGTGATCCTTATAGCCGGCAACGAAACTCCGTCTATTTACTCATTGTGTGATCCACCTCACGGATGCCTAGAAATCACATCTCACAGTAACACCAAAGCAGTGGATCGTGGGAAACTTGCAAACAATAACAATCGTCGATCACCACAGATCAACCTTACTGGTCCTAACATGCGTTCAGCTAGCGCAGCACTAACATAACTTACACTAAAGATACATGTGTAGCATGTCAAAGTAGATATTCTGTTCCAACTGTTGTGAAAATTTCCATGCCGGGTGATTAAAAATTATATAGTGCGTAAAGAAATTACAAAACCATATGCTAATTTGCTAGCTTTGTGTGAAGTACACGTACGTACCATCGAGAAAATGCGTGCTGTTATTACCTCGGAAGTAAGACCCACTATTAACAATGTTGAGTAAGTAGCTACCACTATAATTATTATAGTTAGAGCAAGTATAGCATATTTCGCAGCCCAGGCAGCCCCAATTATTGCTGCACGTTGCATGCAGAGGAAGACTGGTTGCAGCGTTAACAAAACGAGATAAATAATCTAGAAATTCAGTTATTGTTCCAATATCCCAGACGGTATCTTTTCTATTAATCCAGTACTGAGTTCGACCGGAGTACCTCCACACAAGTCTTTGTCTAATCTTCTAACCGAGCGCATGGCAGTGAAGGAAAAAGAAGGGTTACGATTGCATTCAAGGAAGCCAATATATTAAATTGAACGACACACCCCACTGGATGGGAAACTAAGGAGTTAAGTAGAGTTGTTCAGGTGCAAGCACCGTGGACTTCTTGCGTTGCAACATTGATTAAGTAAACCACCTCCACTGACCTTTTGAAATCTACTGAGAACGACATACATGCCGAATCTACTGCCCTCCGATGTCTCAGACTCAGTACCGGCATCATATAGTGGCAGCAAATTAGATGACCTTGACTTACAGATGAATCCTGTTCGGTTCGTCTTTTCGGATATACGCCTTGGCAAGCCATAACTAAGTAACCACAGCTTAGATTACCACTGGAAAAAAAGCTTAACTAAAAGCATGCTTGTTCAAGGTGTTTCTGAAACTGAAGCGTACAATCAACACACATAATAAGAACAACGTTGTTAACTTCGTGAAATCCTCTTATAGTATTATAAACTGGCGTGATCAGTATCACTGTGCGCACATCAACAAACTACAAAAACTTGGCCCAACGGTGCTGAAAATAACCTTTCAGTCAAAACAAACGGCAGCACAGGCTTGTGAAAAGATGCCCCATCTTACGTTGTAGGTTGCCTTCTGAGATTCCGCTAAAGGCAGCGAGAAGACAAAACTCCAGTTAAACGCAGTGTGGATAATACAAGGACCGTGCAACTACAGCGCGTCTGACTAGGTCATGTAACCTGTTAATGAAGTAAGCAACCAAACTGCATACGCCGTATATAGAACTTGAGGTTCAGGAGTATCAATGAAGACAATGAATCTGAGGTGGAATTGACCGCAAATTACCCACGCAGAAAAGGAGTAGTTGCCAATTATTCACGAGTCGGCGAAACCTCATGCTTATATTGCATCTAAGAGGAACCTTCATGTGTGTACAGTAACGGCTAGTGACTTTCGTTAAATGTAACGTAATTTGCCCTGGACAGGTGGCGAATACTTGGAACCTTGTTGTAATAATAAGCTGTTGATGCTGGAATGTCACTCATCCGGTACGATCGTCCCAGGAGTAGAGGTAGGGTTATTCTCTCCTACCGCCATTACCTGCAATGTGTGATGGTTGCTAAGCTAACCACTCTTGTCACTGACTCCATCTGTTGCAGTCTCTGAATAAAGTGCAATGACTCGTGTCTTGTTTCAGTAGTTTGTAGCCCCTAACATCCAATTCGAACTTTCCTTCCCGTTTAATACTCGACCTAGCAATGCAACACAACTTAGGTATAGATATTAATCTAGCTCAAGGAAATTAAATATACGCGATTTGCAGTCATCAAAATCTACAACAAACGGATAAAAATCAAAGGGTATAAATGAAACGCTTACATTCAGCGTAGGAAACCAACCGTTTGCACTGGACTTTGTGCTCGCAACTGAAAACCTTATAGTGGTGATGTTATCCGTGGAGAGTCCGTAAGGTCTCAATGAAATAAATTCATTATATATAAGTTTATCTGCCATATATAGTATCCTTCTGAACATTCAAGATTAACTCATATAACTACAAGTTAATAAGCCTTGAAAGAATTTGTCGAGGCATCCAAGGGGGAGCTACCCAGGAACAGTACCCTCGACAGCATGCGAACAGTCTGACAAACTCCGCGACATGGTCAACTGAGCATCGGATACCAAGCTAATTCGTTCTGCAACGTTGTAGTCTCTGCTCAGCAGCAGGACTAGAAAATGCATAGCCATAACGACTGCAGCATAGGAAGCTTACAAGGTAACTGTAAGAAATTCATGACTTAATGCAACCAATGTTACACCATTTTCCGTGGGGAAAGCTTACCTACCAACTGTGTACATTTAAAAGACCTACGACAAACAACATAATATTGCACAGGCATATCGGCAGTTTTATAAAGAAGAGTATGGTATTACTACATTTTTCATAACAGCGAGAGAGCACAAAGCCCAGATGAAGTAGCCTCTGTCCAGCGGCTGCAATATGCCCAGATTTTCGAATTCGTAAGCTGTCTGTCACATACAGTCGCCCTCCTTACTGACTGCATGGTTTACACATTTAATCCTCAACCATACAATTGCACTTGGAAGGTTGCTCATATTGCAAGACCAAAGCTCTTCGGGAGCCCGCGGCATTCATACAAAGGGACTACAAGGTACCTCCAACAAGATAGTTTGGTACTTGTAGGGGTTACTTGTAGATGATTTAATGAACAACGAGTCCTCACTATATAAGAAGTTTGAAGAAGGCAGCCGTTCAAACAGCGTTAACTATTTGCCATTGACTTTCAGTCCTGTTCTCTTATGGTCGAAGGAATCGGTCATTACCAGGACTTTAGTGAACTACACAGAAAATGTTATCATCATTGTACTGGAGAAGTATGGATACCTTCAACTGCGGTCATGCAAAACCAAGGTGCTAATGACACAATATAGTTGAGCGGAGTAGATATCATATACTTGGAATTTTCCAAAACTCTCAACTTTTTGGATCAACGTATCTAACTTCACAGTTTACAGCCTTATGGGTGGGTTGCCAGCTTTCTACAAGATAGAGGATTAAAATGCGTGGTAAGGTATGTATCTTTAACCCGGTTGCGGTGAAAGTTTGTGCTCCACAGAGCGCGGTGCTAGGGCTGCACGGATCCCTGGTGCTTGCTGACGAATTGCAATAGTTAACTCATTTAATTTTCTGCTTTTTACAGTAGATGGTAATATCTGGAGAGCGATTAATAGTAACGAAGATTACGATTTTCTCCAAAGTGATCTAGAGTACTTTCATGAATGGTCAACGAGGAACCTACTCCAGTTGAACACAGCTATGTGCATGCTTGTTGGCCTGCGCCATCACACCCCGAGTACATGCAATTTTGGTGGACACACCTTGTGGAAGGCTTCTTAAAATCTTAAGCACAAATTTTGGTATGAGAGGATTACGGCTGTTCCAAACAATCCGCGAGGACGTCAAACGCGGTAAGCAACACATCAACCTTTTCCACATGTTTACTCGGTTTGACCATTCATACTTCCACAAATGATGAACGGTTAGATGAAATTGCACGTGAACTACGACATCAAGACTTGACATCAAAGCATAAGCGAGATCTTGCTGCTCTCGAGATTCCTGAAGGACGAGCATCAAACAATCTATTTGGCATCTTTTAGCTGCCATACTAGGATAGATTCATATCCGTACAGGTGCACAGCAGTCGATACTAGCGCTTACGGTAGAACCATATAATGCTTTGCTATATTCTGTAGAATCCGAATCGCATGTGTTGCCTACTGCCGGAAATGTAAGCAAAATCAAATTGAGGGGCCATCAGTTGTAGCTGACAGTACATTAGGGCCGGCCAGAATGCCATCGAAAGTTCTTCTTGCTTCGAGCATATTAACAATGAAACGTTCTCCCAACTTTCGTTGTCCTTGCCTCTAAACTAACGAAGTTAACAGACGACCGGCCGAAGCCCTTTTCCATTCAGATTTTATTTTACATCTTGTATTAGCCAAGAATAATCCAGGAGGGTTACTTTACTTGTATTAAACAATATAGCTAGCAATCTTGTGGTTAGTATTAACTTTCAAGTTAATTTCATAAGATGCCATTTATGCCAGCGCGAGTCTCAAAATGTAAGATGAATTGCGGTAGCAGACGGGATACAATGCGAAAAATACGAGAAAATTAGAAAATAGGTATAATTCGTTGAGAGAATCAATACACTTACTATCGCATCCGTGTACTCCATCAGTTTCTCTTCGAACGTTTCTACAGTTGCTATAGATGGGCCCATCAGAAGGGCAAGAAAACTCTTAAAGAGAAGACACATATTAAAGGAAATTCAATAGAAGTAGTAGGGCTTCTAGTCTAAGTGCTTTTTGAATTTAACTTCATCCTGACAAAGTACCAAAGCTTTAAATGTACAGTGTTATTTCCATCAATGTTAACAAAATCTTCTCGAAATATGCTTGGAACTAAACCTTTGGCGATCTTTACCTTTATGGGACCCTATTGCAGAAGGCTATTTGAATTTCAGAACCCCAGCAACAGCACTACGACAGTGTAAAATCAGCTAAACGTAGGACCCAATGTGTCCGGTCTCGCGTGTGCACTCCGTACTTATAGATAAGACAAAGGCACGGCTATGATTTAGGCCCACAAAACAAATTCCCGCCTTGCTGGTAGGACAGATTGATGCGAATAAAAGGCTAGCATTATTTGCTATCTGCGCAGTATTTTGCAGGCACATGATAGCCAGCAGGTAAAGGCATCAGCCACTAACCAAAATCACTGCATTTTGTAGTTTTGTAGCATTTGCAACTTACAACGTGAAGGAATGTTCTTGATAAGCTACAACAAGAAGCGCATATGTAAACTGTCCAATGAAGTCAAGGTATATATCTTGAGTATCGTAACTTGCAGTGGTCAAGGCTACGGTCAATTGGACACGAAACCGAAGCTCCGAAAATTTGTACAATTTGTACGTTTTTATGTGTAACCTTAACGGACTTTGGATTATCATATACGAAGTAATTACTTTTTGTGTGTTCTTTTCGCCACCAGAAAAAAATTAGAAGGATATGTGTCAGCTTTTATGAAAACTATGCAAAGCTTTTTCAATCATCCTGTGATCCTCCTTGTAGAGTGGTTTTCCTTCCTCATTTAATCACAATTCGCCCAAGTTCCATTCATCCCACATGGAAGTACCAGCTTTATCTATTGGATCGCAAAGCGTATGAATTATTCCATCGCCCCAGTACCTAGATTCTAAAGATTTCTCAGCTATCCGTCCGCATCCGAAGACCAATTTTACATGTTGGCGCCAATCAATCTACCCTGCATTCGTGTCAAACAGGCCCTGTAGCGAACAACGCTCTGGCCAGTAAGCAGCATCAAAACTCACACCGGCAATCACCTGACAGTGCTGCGTTTGGACCGGCAGGTGAACTTAAACGCTAATGCGTCCGTTTCAAGTCCGGGCAGGTTGGTTTTATTACGTTCCTTCTAGCTCCACAGGGCAGTGTGTGACCAAGAAACGAAGTGGCCACCTCCACCCGGCCAGTCGGAAATGCAGGCAACGTCAACTAGCCTACAGTGTAAGGTAGCAACACCATGCCAAGTAGCAGAAAGCAAGTAGACGCGAATCCAAAAGGGCTCCAGTGGAAGAGTAAACGTGAGTCTGCTGAATGTAACCGATCATGTCTGAGTTGGTGTGCCTCGATGTATTACAGAATAAGATATCTATTTATTAGTCAAACTCAGTGTACCTTGATTACACTGTTTACTATGGTATCATACAAAATATGCAAATCTATCCCAGCAGCACGGGAGAGCTTAAAACAGCTCATAAAACGAGGTGTGATTTTGTACTGCTTGTTCAATCGTCCCACTATTCAAATATTTACTTCTCCTAGTCCAAAAGTGAGAGCGATCGACAGAAGAAGTTGAACAACGAACAGACGCTAAGATTATATCACTAGAAGCGAGTATGCACCATGATCTCACATTGGCTTCGAAGAGAAGCATTGGTTCAAATTTACTTCACTTGAACCATGTTTGACAAGGTTCCTTTGCTGCTATCTTCTTCAATTTTAAAAGAACGCCAAACGAAAACAGGCCGTACCTCTAACGGACAAGCGGTAGTCAGGACCCCGAAAATCGGGCACCACTCGAAACGTGTGATGGATCAAATTCAGCCGATCTTGAAAACTTGGATTGTTACGAAGGATGGGACAGCCGAATCCGAGACTCCATTCACATATGCGGAGATCGCTGTAAAAGTTCCTCGGGATGCTACCTTTAGTGTCTTCCTTTTTGCAACCACCGCTAACTCCAGTAGAGGGACAAAAAGGAGACCATCATCATTTTGCCTAAAAGCAGGCCTAACGATCACCTGGCCTTGGAGCTTAACAAAAAGAGTTCAAATAATAATTCCCTGACTGTCAGGTGCACTAATGTCCCGAATCTACTGCCATATCATTGCGAGGTAAGTTGTCTGAAGACAAGACCAGTGGAAGTTACTGTATATTTTAATGAAAGTAAACGTCAAACGCACAAACTTAATGAGAGTTACTTGTCATCCGGCCTCTGCCCACTATGGCAGACCCAGAATTCTTAAGGTGACACTGGAATCGACCACTGATGTAGAAAACGTTTTACTCTCTGCAAGTGCGCTACACCGCAAGTCTTGTAAGGTAGGGATTTATCCGGAAGTACCTTGCAGCACGCGAAACTCGATAAGAAACCTCACGTATGAACAAAGCGAGCTGGATTTCTAAGCATCCTCTTTATTTACGGTATGCCAGAATTAGCTTCCCACCATGGTAGTGAGGCCGGAAATCACAATTTGGAACAGTGGCAGTTTATTCGTAAACACCTTCCTTGGACAATGTTATGGTGCGATCGCTCAAAATGCTACCTCTCTCACCAAAATACAGAGAATGTGGACCAAGAATCCTAAGACTTGGTTCAGTCAGTGTAAACAGCAACGGAAGTGTTTGAACATTTGTGGGGACATCGTAAAAGCCCTCCATCTGAACTTCGGTTAAAAGCTGCTGAATCCTTTCAAAGACCAGGCATGCGCTTACCAAAAAAGCAATCCTACCAGAGATCACGCATGAGCACCATGTTACTTCTCGGTCATGCGACTCTACAGCATGTTCGGAAAAGGAATGGGACGTAACATGGCCAAATCTGTTTGCTAACGATGTAAAACACAAACGATAAAATAAACGAATAATGGCCGACCTCGCATTGATCGGCATTCTACTACATGTGACTCCTTTGGCTCGCTGTGGGCTCCTAGAGACCGAAACCTACTCTGCCTTTATACAAATGCTTAAACGAAATGCGTAACTGAAGTATCAACAAAATTCGAAGCCATGTGATATTATTGGTCTCACGGAGACGTGGTTACACACTGCGATGACAGACGCTGGAGTGTCGCTACCAGGCATGTCACTCATACAAAGCGACAGGTATATGGAAGGGGAAGGGTACTAATGTGTTAAGCGACCTACAGTGCGAGACCGTTGAGGATTCAGACTTAGAGTTCGCAGCTTCTCTTTGATGACGCTTACATTTATATGGCAGGGTAATTGCATTATAGCTTTGGAATACTACCTCCCAAACTCTACACCGGAAATGGACTGTTAACTTGCTACAGCTTTAACGTGCAGCCTAAAGTTAAAGCACACTCACATCCTTAGCATGGGTGATATAATGGAACGCTATTTAGAAAGTCCTGCTACAATCGGGTAGCCCTTGAAAGCAGATCTGCAAGAGCTTATAACCAATTGACAATCAGGTCATTAGGCCCACTCATTTCAGAACAGGTGGTTGACCTTCTTTGTTAGATTTTGTGTCCACCAACTAGGAACATTTAGTTGTTGTATTGATAGGACAATGTCTTTGGAGTCACAGTGATCATGCACTCATCAGTTTCGACTTTATGTGCTATGCGAAACATTGAAAGCAAAACCCTTAGATGGTGCGCAACATTGCACCCTACAACCGTTTAGTCCAGCTAGTCAGTGCCACGTCCTGGTCGCTTTTCGCTGAAGGCCAAACGGAAGTCGCTTGGCTTGAATAAGGCAGCAATTTCAAGTAAGTGGCTACGGATGCCTCAGAGACAAGCGTTTTCAGTGGGCGCAAAACCTTTTCATTCGTGAGGAGCAGAACTGGAAAAGGGATGATTATACGCAACGAAGCCTGGCGAGAGTACAGATAATTACCTATGATAGATACTTGGAACGACTATGTAGCCCAACGTAACCAATGCACTCAACTGCTCACATATGATAAAGTCGCATATCAGTAGAATATAGCAAAAACGTTCAGCGCTAAACATAAACCGCTGTACAAATATGCCAATGGAAGTCGTAGGTTAAGGCAGGGAATTCCTTCTCTCCGGACAACTGATGGTCCAACTAGAACAGCCATAGAAGCAGTAAACGCGTTGCGGACGCAATATGCTCCCAAATTTCGGAGGGTTTTACCATTAGGCCATCTTCCAACTTTTGTATTTTACCATCCAGGACTCACCCAGATCCTTTTACTGCCGAAGCTCTTTTGCGAAATTAACATTTCTGTACAATTATAGTTCTCCGGAAGTCCACACCATTCGTCCAGAGGCGCTGAGAGCAACAGCAAGACCACTAGGAAAACCTTCGGCACATTTCTTGCAGCGCTGCCTAGATCAGCATTGGATTCCTGCTATGTGGAAACAGAATAATAACTTAGACACACAAAGGTGAAAGCAAGACCGAACCCACAAACTACCGCTTTGTCCCTTCTCCCTGTATTAGCCTAAGTCATGGAACCTATCGTAGCCGATGATTTGATGTGTTAGCTAGACACTTGTAACATTATTGCTCCCAAGCAACACGGCTTTCCTCGACAGCGATCGTGCAAGACGAATTCATTAATCATCCTAAATAGTTGGACCAACTCAGCTGATGCTGGCGTTCGATCGTTTAGATTATCAGGTCCCCCTTTCAAAGCTCTAGTATAACGGGATGGGTGACCCTCTTTTAAGCTAGTTCGCCAACTTTCTTCTGCAATGACAATCAGTGGTAGGAGTCCGGAGTTCGCTATCTGACCGCACACCAGTCGACTCTGTGTGCCCCAATACTCACTTCTAGGTCCACGGATGATTTTGGTATTCATCAATGACTTTGCACGGAATATCGCTTCACATTTCCTACTTTTTGCTGGCGATATCAAGATATGGCGCCTGATTCAGGCGGATGCCGAGCAGAATTTACTTCAGTATGACCTAGTTACCGTACATGATGGGCCAACCGGAACTCT